ACCAATCAACCACGACCCCAGATCTGGACTCTTGCAAAGTAGGTTCCCTGTGAGCCTAGCCAATTTCAGGATTTTGTGCCTCAACTCAGATGTATTAACAGGAACTATATTCGCAAAAAGAAAAGGAGTACTTGTGGTACCTTAGAGACTAACAAATTTATTTGAGCATAAGCTTTCGTGAGCTACAGCTCAGTTCATCGGATGCATTCAGTGGAAAATACAGTGGGGAGATTTATATACACAGAGAACATGAAACAATGGGTGTTACCATACACACTGTAACGAGAGTGATCACTTAAGGTGAGATATTACCAGCGGGAGAGCGGGGAGGGGGGGGACCTTTTGTAGTGATAATCAAGGTGGGCCATTTCCAGCAGTTGACAAGAATGTCTGAGGAACGGTGGGGGGTGGAATAAACATGGGGAAATAGTTTTACTTTGTGTAATGACCCATCCACTCCCAGTCTCTATTCAAGCCTAAGTTAATTGTATCCAGTTTGCAAATTAATTCCAATTCAGCAGTCTCTCATTGGAGTCTGTTTTTGAAGTAGCTCACGAAAGCTTATACTCAAATAAATTTGTTAGTCTCTAAGGTGCCACAAGTACTCCTTTTCTTTTTGCGAATACAGACTAACACAGCTGCTACTCTGAAACCTGTCAGGAACTATACTGAGTCAATTATCCCTCAGACTTAAAGTTCCTGTCCCACACAACAATTTCAAAACTAAAAAAGAAGTAGTAATAAATATCTTGCCCCTAATGCAGATCCATACTAGATCCTGCTGCTGCCTCGGCCTGCAGCTCTGCTCATGTTCCCAGAGCTCCTGAATCCATTTACTTTTCATCTGCTGTGAGCCCATCCACCTAAACTAGCAATAATGCACCTTCCCCTCAGTCCCCATTGAAGGTTTTGCTCCTGCCTATTACACTAAAGGTTTGTATACTTTACCCGCTGGATTGACAGGCAGCAATCAATCCAGCAGGGGTTGATTTATCGCATCTAGATGCGATAAATGGACCGCTGAGTGCACTCCTGTCCATTCTGGCACTCCACCAGGGCAAGAGGCGCAGGCAGAGTTGACAGAAGAGCGTCAGCCATCGACTTACTGCAGAGAAGACACCACAGTAAGCAGATCTAAGTACATCGACTTCAGCTACATTATTCACATAGCTGAAGTTGCGTAACTTAGATCCACCCCCCCCCCCCACCGCCGTGTAGACCAGGCGTAAGAGAAGCATTCAGAGCCTTCATAGGAGTATCAGCACCATTGCAAGCAGGCAAAGATAACAAAGAGGCTCTGGAACTCTGTTCCAGAGACACATGCACCACAGAGGTCTGAACTCCAAGGACATGAGGGACTGGAGGTGACCCACTTAGGAAAAAGAGGAATAGTCTGGTAAGAGGACAGGGTCAGCACTAAGGAGGGATGGGTAAGTGATATTTGGTAGGACTAATTATTCCCAGCACTTGATCATTTTCACATGTATTTAATGGAGTACAGCTCTGAGTAGAGCTGGTCAAAAACTGGAGTTTTTGTTCCACAGGAAATGCTAATTTTTTTAAACAATTGTTTTGAATTGGAATGAAATGCTGAAATTTCTAAATTTCCCACACAAGTGAAAATTTTTAATTCAGACCACTAAAATATTTCATTTAGATAACATTGAAATACAATTTCCTTATGGAGAGAGATTTTGTAATTATCCTCCATAGGGCTGTTTGCACCTTCCCCTGAAGCATCTGATTCTGGTTGCTGTCGTATTGAATATTAGACCAGTGGCTGGATGACAATAGGCATTGCTATAGCACAGGGGTAGCCAAATCATGGCTCACAAGCTACATGTGGCTCTTTACAGTGCGACTCACAGCATCTCCAACACCCTCTCCTTTCTCCTCATACCAGACTGGGGAGAGAGCAGCTCAGGGCTTCTGCCCTGCAGTAGGGTGGTGGGGCTAGGAGCTTCTACCAGAGATGACCGGTGCCTGCTGAGAGTGAGGGTCAGCAAACCCTGGCAAAAATCTGAGGGCATATGACCCCACATGTCCCCACACACTCATCACCTCTGCTTCTGTCTAGGGGGGAGGAGGGCCCTGAGCCCTCCTTCCCCACAGGGCTGAAGCCTCAAGCCTCAGCAGGCATGCCTCAGCTCTCAAACTTCTGAAGATTGTTGTGTGTGACTCAGAGGGTCAGTAAGTACCTGACTACAGGTCAGAGTCTGAGGGAACCTAAAGACATTTGGTCCAATTGCCTTCATAAAGCAACAAGGACTATATGGTATGAATCTTCAGCACATCTAAATTTGTCTTCAACACACCGGATTATTATTTTATTTTTTTTAAAGTAGGGGAATACTTCTGTTGTCCAGATTTCCATGGTCTCTCACACACACACTTCACCACTGACAGGTTCTGGATAACAGGAATTCTCATGATCTTCCACCCTGCCTGAAATAATTTGATTTTTCTCTCAGCTGTCCCCTCTACCCACAACACATTATTCTCAACACCAAACACACCAATACCAAGATTCTGCAACCTCCCAGGGACAGTCTCTCACTTTAAAAAAAACCAAACAAAACAAGAAAACCCCCACAAATGGAATCCTGAGACAGTGAGTCTTGTCTGCAGCCCATCTAAAGCTTTGAGACCTACCATCTTTCATCAGACAAACTGCTAGTATATGCCAAGGAATTCAGTTAATATGGCTCCTTTGAGAAGCGTACAAAGGGGTCCTAAATGCAGCAGCACCATATCTAGAAACACTTCTCCTTAAGTTTGCTCGCACAGTAATTTTCATGTCACAGTTATGGAGCTGGCTCCTCAACTATGCCCAGTACCTTTCTCCCTGATAGAGGCTAGTGACACCATAGGGCTTCTGTGTGGAAGGCTCCAGCTCCCCCCTCCCCTGAAGACATGGCTCGGAATGTCTCCTAGCATATGGGGGAGAGTCCTGAGCTGCCTGAGTAAGGAAACTTTACTCTCCTTTGTGCTTCTGGAGCAGCACAAAAGGAATTTAACCAGGGACATGGATCTGCCTTTTCATGAGTTAATATCTGCAAAGCACTTTGAAGATTGATCCCAACACCACCTCTGCAAGTAGGTAAGTACTACAGCCCCCATTTCACAGCTGAGGAAACTGAGGCAAAAGGGTTAAGCGGCTTATCCCAGACACAAGCAAGTCAGTGGCAGAGCCAAGATTAGAATCAGAACTCACGCCTCTTTCAAATTATTTTTTTAGGGTGCTACAGGCACACACAGCACTTTGCAGGTAAATATAAAGAGGAGGTTCCCTACCCCCAGACACTTACAATTCAGACTGAGGAAATAATGAAAGAATAACACAGAAAGCACAAAGGCAAATAAAAGGAAGGGGATACAACCCTTGCAGGGTGAAGAGAAAGAGGGAATAGATCTGGTGACATCGTAGGTGGCTTCTTATATTTCTGTAGTGAAGTTTCAGAGGAAAACTATAGGTTAAGAGGCACAGCAGGAAAAGTGAGTTCAAAGCTCTGAATGAGGAAACAGACACTATCACAGCTATGGGGCAAACTGCAAAGACCACAATGAGGAATGAAGAGATGTTTCAGCAGGAGCATGGCTTAAGTTAATGCATGAAGGAAGGTCTGAGCGCTGAGGTATAGGCAGGAGCAGAGATGTGCACGGTAAGAACAATAAGCTTGAATGTAATGAGTAGCCAGCCAAGAGGTTTGAAAACAGGCATGACAACAGGTGGCTTTGTCTAATATTTGCAGCCATAGAAATTCAAAGATGAGCAGCTGTCAATCCAGACGGTCCCTGGATTATGGGATAAAATGGGGTTGTGCTTGCATTTTTGATCTTGGCATAATGAACATTTCATGGGTGGATTTGCAGAACTGTGACCAGAGACTACGCACCCTTACCTCTGACCTCCAATGAAGTCTATTATTTGCACCAACGGAGCACACTTTTTTATACATATACTCAAGACATGGGAGATGAAAAGCAAAGCAACGTTTATTACATCAGGGCAATTTTTCTGATAACCTTGTTCGAGTTACAGACCCACAGCTTTGCATTTGAAAGAAGCAGAAGGCCCATCTGCCTAAAGAGTTATGCAGAAGACGACACCTGGCTTACATGCTCACTTAGGACCACATGCCCACAGATATATTGAAACAAGGAACAACCGACCTCATTTCTCCTTTAGTGGGAGCAAGGAAGCCAAATGATTGAGCATTTGGACTTTAAGCCGAAGTAATAGATTCTAATATAGCTTCACTTTCAAGTCTGTACATAACTCTAACCCCTTGTAATCTCTCTAGAACAGAGGTGGGCAAACTACGGCCCGTGGGCCACATCTAGCCCACAGGACCGTCCTGCCCAGCCCCATAGCTCCCATCCGGGGAGGCTAGCCCCAGGCTCCTCCCCTGCTGTCCTCCTCCCCCGCAGCCTCAGCACGCTGCACCTGCCGCTCTGGCCCGCTGCTCCTACCAGGCAGGGCGGCGGAGTGACTGCAAGCTCCTGCCGCTCTGAGCAGCATGGTAAGGGGGCGGGGAGGGGTTGGATAAGGAGCCAGGAGTCCCAGGGAGCAGGGGGGTTGGATAGGGGGTGGGGTCCTGGGGTGCAGTCAGGGGGTGGGGGTCTGGATAGGGGTTGGGACACACAGGAGACTGAGAGCAGGGGGGTTGGATAGGGGGTGGGGTCCCGGGAGGGGGCAGTCAGGGGACAAGGAGCGGGGGGGGAGGGAGGTGTTGGATAGGTGGGGGAGTTCTGAGGGGGGCAGTCAGGGGGCGGGAACTGGGAGGGGACGGATAGGGGGCAGGGTCCAGGCTGTTCGGGGAGGCACAGCCTTCCCTACCTGGCCCTCCATAAAGTTTTGCAACCCCAATGTGGCCCTTGGGCCAAAAAGTTTGCCCACCCCTGCTCTAGAAGGCCACCTGCTCAATACTTTGTATAAGCTTCCTTTGCTTCCCACATTCAAGCACTGGACTCAGTCAGTTGATCTGGGTTCTACTCACAGCTCTGCCACTGAATTACTGTGTGAATGTAGACAAGTCACATTCCCGTGCCTCAGTTTCCCCACCTGTAAAATATAGACAACGATGCTGACCCTCTTTTGCTAAATGCTTTGAGAGTTATGTATAAAAGTAGCATAAAAGTGAGCTACAGATTACAATTATGCTTGAAAAAAACTTCCCCATGGATGTTTTCCATGTACCCTCCCCCTCCTTCACAAAAAATAAGAAGATCCAAACTTCTGAAAGCATTCAAGCTATAAGATGTGCACTCTGCTTTGTGAACATAGGAACTGCCAGACTGGATCAGACCTCAGTATCTGGTCTCTAACTGTGGCCAGAACAAGATGCTTCAGAGGAATGTGTAAGCATCCCAGACAGCAGGCAGACATGAAACCAATATAGGTCTTATCCTGGTCTCTTATAGAGATTAGTGTAAACTCTGAAGCACAAGGTTTAACACCCCTTCCAAACACACTGTGAATACATTGCTTTCTAGCATTATTTATACAGTGCCCGAAAGTGTGACAGGTGTTTTATACATAGTCAAGACGGGTCCCTGTCTTTAAAGAGTTTACAAAGTAAATAAATGACACACAGAGGAAAGGATACAATTCTTAGTCTAAAAAAACCCTGTTTTCCACCTGTCACCATCCTGATTTGCAACCCTCAAGGCACATGCATTACTCTCCTCAGTGACATCATGATCATATTGCTTCACGCTCCTCTACAACTACCCCTGTGTTGCTGTCTCTTCCTCTTCTACATTTTTATTGTAAGCACTTCAGAGCAAGGACACTGTCATTCCAACTTTCTCTAAAGCAACACCCACAGCTGTGATGCTACATCAGTCAGTAGCTATCCTCCTCTACTGTTCCCATTTGTGCTTGTAGACTATGTTTTGCAGGGGTCATCTTTTTGTTCTGCATTTGTACAGAGCCTAGCACAATGGAGGCCTGGTCCATGGCTCCTAAGCACTATATCACACAAATACTGAGTAAAAGATTCATTTTTCAGCCTGTCTTGTTCCCTTTTCTGTAACGCTTTACCCCATACTCAAAAGGGTCAGCATCTTTTGGTTCATTAAGAAGTGTTATAATTATAGTCATTTTACAAGGCAATAATCCTCTTGCCGGGATTCTCAATGCAGGTGGGGTCATGGCAAAATGGGGCTTATTGGCTTTTTAGTGGGGAGAGGGAGAACATGGGGATGGGATGGTCAGCCTAGTCGACATCACAAAGCATGGGCGAGAGTAAAGTGAATCGTATCAGGCATATCAGTACAGCAATAGGCTCCAATTACAGGCAAAGTCACTCAACTACACTTTCTTGTCTGCATTTAAACATTTGGAGCCTCTCACATATGAAACCTGTGGAAGCCCCCTTAGCCTCTTCCCCCTTATTCATTCTGGAGCAGCGTCACAATGAAAAGCTGAACAAAATAATAAAACTCATGTTAAATATGGAAAGACTCACATTGACTTAATGGGAGTTGGATCAGCTCCCTAATAAGTAAGTGTAGCCCCGTGGACAGGGCCCAGCATAACAAGATAGGATTCCTGGGTTCTAGTTCTGGCTCTGCCAGGGATTCACTTTATGACGTTGAGCAAGACCCTTCACTTCTCTGTGTCTCAAGTTCGCCAGCTGTAAAATGGGAACAGTGATGCTCATCCACATTCATAAAGCACTTTGGAAAAGCCGTTAGTATAAAATGCTATGATTTTATTAGTAAAGTGAAGGGAGCTCCTGTGACATTTCACAGAATATGGAAAATATGGATTGTGTCCTGCCTGTCAATTTACCATCTACATTTTCTAGCGGCCATCTGTGAAGAATGTGTGTATGTGTAAAAGTAAAATAGATGCTCCTTGCAAACACCCCAAAATAGTATTCTGGTACATTTAAGAAGATATACAGTATTCAGACAGATGAGTAGATTATGTCATGCTTATATATAACCTAATTTTTCTCTTGATAAACTAAGAAAAGAGGAAGTGTACAGAGTTTATTTTTAGTAATGTTATATTAAGGCATGCTACAGCACAAGACCACATGTGCATAGTACAACTTAAAAACTAGTTCAAAAACATACTTTAAAAAAAAACTGTCTACAGATTGTACCAGGATTTGATTCCAGCCCCAGGGACATGCCAGAACTTTGTAAAAAATCAGGATTTCTTAGGAACATTTTTGGTTTTCATATGAATTTCTGATGATCAGGGTTCCAAAAATATTAATAATTATACTAAACTGGGAGAGGCTGCCAAAAAACAGCATTGGCTAAGAAATAACATAAAGGGGCATAGGTGCCCTCAATTCCCACCAAAGGCAATGAGGGTAGGGGTCACTCATGCACCTTGCAGGATCAAGCCCCCACACTGATCAGAAATTATAGGTCAAAATGTGAAAAATAAGATTCAGCCTGGGAAAACATCCAACAATACTCTGAACACTGATGGTCAATGGGAGGGAGGTTCTGTGAGAGCAGTACTCAGATTGAGAGAGAGAGAGAGTGCGCCGAGGCAAGAGCAGACAGTAAACTGTGTATGAGCTTCTAGTGGCAGGAAATAAAGTGAGTTGAGATTTGGCACAAATGTAAACTTCAAGTCAGTGGCTGTGGCCTGTCCCATGGTAGCATGAGGGGAGATGTGGCAGGTTTTGAGCACCTGGATCTCTGGCCCTGCTGGAATCAGCTGGCATAAAGATGAAACCCTCCTCCAGACCCCTCCTGTGGCAGGGAGACTTTAGAGGTACCTCTTTACAATAGTAACAGACTAATGGAGCCAGTTCTCACCACTCATTCTCCAGCCAGGCCCCCATATCCCATCCATTTGGGAACGTAGCCTGTTAACTGTGGAGCAGAGGCCCAGATGCAGTGCTTAGGTACTCATGCCTGCCCAGCTGCAATGAGATGGGTGGTCCCATCACAGAGGCGTTGCTACAAAAAGAAATACAGGTATTGCCTGATAAAAACTGATACCAAAGGGTCATTAATGTGGCCTGAAAATTACCATGGTTAAAAAGCTCCAAACACATCCATATGCTTACAGGATGGAAGGTGCACTCTGGCAATGAAAGAGTTACACAAAACCTGGGGATTGGGGAGGTGTTAACTAGACTTTTTTGGAACATTCAATATTAGTGAATAGTGCCTGAAAGTTCCTATTCAATATGACAAAGTTCTGCCTGCTAATGAAGGATAAAAATAGTCTGTGTATGCCTATGTGAAAGAAAACACACACACACACCCCACACCCCCCCCCCATGGAACTGGCACTGCAGTATGGTTGGGGGATGGGCAGCTAGAAGAGAAGCTGCAGTAATCGCGGCGACTCCTGCAGGCTGAGCTCTACTGGGTAAACTGCACTGAAACGCTATGTAACAGCAACTGCCAGAGACACAGCAACTGCAATCAGCTAAACCAGAGAGAAAGGACTAGCATTTTCCAGGCAGGCCAGGAAGAATCCTTTATTTCTATTGGCTAGAGGACTGCGCGCACGCACAAATACACACACACACACTCACTCCTCTCTTTTTCTGGAGACTGTCTTGGTATTTTTGTTGTTGGCAAACCAGACTGTTTCAGAATCAGCTTTAGAAATATTTGCAGGTTAGGGTGCCCCTGAAAAGGAGCAATGTGGCGAAGAGGGATTAACCACCACCAAAGATGATCTTGCAGCAATACTGCTATTACAGAAATACAATCACTACACAATAACTTTTTCCCCCCAAGTGTACCAGCTATGCTTCCTAGAGCACTTAGGTACACAACTCAATTAAAAACCCAGGGCGAATAAATTATTTTTCATGCATTTTCAGACCACATTGACACTTGGACTCTGCGGCAAAATGAATGTTACAAAAAAAAAAGTGTATATGCACTGAATATAAATATATTATGAAATGGCTTTTAAAACTCTGCCCTAGAGAGAGCTTTCTGATTGGTTCCCAATGATGTAAGACATCTATAATGCCTGGTAAAACACATAGGTTAACGAGTCTGATTTCTGCATATAAATTCCAGGTAATAAGAGTATCCATGACACTCCAGGAAACATATTGCAGATTAATTATAGCGTTTCTCAGGTAGTTAAAGTCATTGGACCTCAGACCTCAACGCCATGCAAGCTTACTATTGTCACTCACACTGGACTGTCTTATTGCTTATTCACTGTTTGTTTCTGCTGAGGGAAGCCTTATTTAAGGATATGGTAAATCATTGTCAAATTTAAGTTATGAAAGATATACACAGGCACATCTTAAGCTACTTAGCTTTGTCTGGTATGGCATCCTGTGTAAAGTCAATGATGAGCTAGGTATTGTACCTCTTCAAATGGGAAACAGATTCCGTGCATTTTCACTTCTTATTGAATAAAGGTATTATTAAACCGATCAATGCATTTTTTAAAAAAGAGCCCTACGAAAAGACAAACCTACAGTTTGAGAATCCTACACATAGAAAGGGCTTGTACCAGAGCCATCAATTAAATCCTTCTAAAAACTTTTTTTTTGGTCCCAAGTGGTCAAATAATAGTGAATGGCATTAACTCTTTAAATTCAGTGAGGCTTACAGGTTGTCAGCCAATGGACTGTTTAAGAGGACTGTCTGCAATTGCAGCTTCAGTAGTTTTGATAGACTCCATATTCCAAGTAGAGACAAGGTGGGTGAGGTAATATCTTTTATTGGACCAATTTCTGTGGGTGAGAGACACAAGCTTTCGAGCCACACAGAACTCTTCTTCAGGTCTCTCTAATATCCTGGGACTGACACGGCTACAACTACATTGCATATTCCAAGTGCAAGCTCATTTACATGATTACTGCATGACTGGAGAATTCCTTGTAAAATATTAATCGCACAAGGTTTGCGCCATAGCTTGCAGCTAGTCTTCTTTCTACATTACACGACCCTCAGCTTCCAGATATAAACAGATTTTTTTTGTTTCCCAGCATGAGTACAACTGCAGAAGAAGGCTTAGATTTTTGTGCTAAGTACATAGCAGGGAGCATGTTAGCAAGAAACCTTACACAGGGTCTAGAATATATTGAGTTATATCACGCCCTTCCA